CGTCAGGACTACTCAAGCATGCCCTCTCTGTTCGCATTCGCCATGAGATACGTACCACTGCAGCGTGATGACAAAGTCCTCCCAACGCGAGCGCGTCCAATCCTCCAGCCCGTCGCCGTTGTGCAACATCGTGTTCGCAAGGGAGACGAACTTGTGCAAGGCTGGAACTACCTTGCCTGCGAGGGAGGGATTCGCCTCGACCATCTGGATCGCGCCGAAGAAGAACGGGTATCTGTGGCGATATGCGAGCGCTCTTATGAGTCAATCCCTCCCAATGCAGCGGCAGCGGTCGGGCAAGCGTACCTGCCCCAGAGGTAGCGCGGCTTCGTCGTATTGACTTCTGGTCCGAGCCAGCCAGTGGAGTCTTGATGGTCGACAACGTAGTCAAGGAACTGTTGAACTTGCGCCTGGATGTTGGCATCGTCGGCGAGGACACCATGAGGGACCATTCCATTCTGCGGGGTTTCAGCAGCTAACTCATACGTCTCGAAGCTTCCCGGTGACGCACAAACCAGTAACTTCCGGCTTAACCAAGCAAAAGGTGAGATGAGTAGAGGAAACGGAGAGAGCACTTCCACATACCCTCCTCCAGGTCGGAGTAGGTGGAACTGCCGCCGGTCCAAGTAGTCTGAGATACACTGCGCGCGTTTGAGTTAGAAACCAGGCATGCGTCTACCACAACTTACTAGTTGTAGAAGTCATGCTCATGCCCCGCAAGACCGTTGGTTTGAACGGTGAGCTGGACAAGGAGGTAAGTCGCGTCATCCAAAGAGCCAGACGACGTTCCCGCATGCCTGATCGTGCAGCCACCCTGCCGGCTTCACCTTACCCAATGGTATGTTCAAGAACGTCTTTGGTGCAACTAGAGGCGAATCCTGGAGGTGAAAACGTGACGATTGCAACATGACGATCGTACTTACGTCCTGAAACGGATTGGCCGTACGCGACGGAACGCGATGCAATAGATGCCAGAAGCGAAACCAGGAGAGTCCTCGTCATTGTGAACCGGCCGTCCGCAGTTTTCGCCCTTTCGCTAGTAACTGGCACTTTATACTTCCCCGTGTGCAGTGGATATGAGTCGGAACGTCCAGGCGTGGCAGCACATGATCCAAATGGGGGAGAGATAGGGAGAGATCCAGCACACAGCGAGTGCAATTGACTTCGAGCATCAGAAACTGTCTCTGTTGGACTTCTCGTAGGGCAATTGTTGCCGGCTCGTGGACTATCAGCAGGTATCGTGTAATAGGAAGCGGTATGGGATGTAATGTGTCCATGACCATGAACCCGTGGCGGAATGCTGCGTGACCTTCCTAAAGTGGTGCACGGCCCTGTTCGAAGCAAGCACACGCGAGGTCACCGCGATGGACGCATGTTCTTAGTGGTCCAATGGGTCACGGTGAGCATATGGACGCAGCAAGGGTAGAGAGCACGAGGGGCTCACCGGCATGACATCAGAAATTTCCATGCCCCGACCAAGAACCTCCAGCGTCTATGGAGGCGGGCCTCCATGTAGCCCTTACGGCAGGCGAATTCGCTCACCTAGTGCCTTTCAGGAGTCCCAGCCTCAGGGCCGGGCTCATGGAGGTGCGCTTAAGACGCGGATGAAATATGGAGAAGCAGACAAGACTGTAGCAAAGCACATAGTACCTCTCCCTCCTCGAGACCTGCCGGTGCAGCGCAGGTATCCAGAGACGAGGTCCTGCTCTCGAGTCACCCCAAATCGAGCAAAGGCTCACCTGTCAATCTCGATCCGGCATTCTACACGATCCGCATACAGTTTAATATAATCTAGGCTTACAAACTCGTACTCGATATCATCTTCTCGATTTCTTGCACTCCAGTTTCTACCGTGTCCGGTGCCTGCACAGCCTCTTCTTTCTTGGATGGCCCGACTCCAATGCTCGTCGTGCGGGTCGCTGGCTCGTCGGTCTGAGACGTAGTCGTCCCGATAGAACGCTTTGTAGACAAGTCCTTCAGAAAGCTCCGGGGGCCATCCCAGCCTGGCAGCGCCTTGCCATCGGGAGTCTCTACCCGCGAAAAGAACTGGGGGCTGAGGAAGCCACGTGCATCGCCTTCGGTCAAGACGACGCCATTCGCGGAGATGTAGAACTTGATCCCAGCGTCGAGGGCTTTCTGCACATCGACGTAGATGAGGATCTGAGACGAGTTACGCATGCCTGTGGAGACGCTTATCACCGGGATCACCGAGAGAGCTCGGGCAGCAACGTACCACTGATGACTCCAGAGCCAGCCACGCCCTGCGCAAGATGGATATGATTACGACTCATCTTGCTGAGACCCTGGTCCTCTGCTGCCGAGTCAGTGGGAAGAAATGTGAACAGGAGATGGTAGGACATACTGATGCTCTCCCAAGCACGCTTAGTCGTCCCATGGACGGCTATACCGGTCGGGATGTCGGACACGGACTTGATTGGCTCATAATCCAAGACAACTGACTGGCAATGTTTACTTGAGTCAAGAAGCAGCGTCGCTCCTGCGCCAGAGCTTACCTTCAGGGAATGGCCCTGATTGGCTCTGATCCACCAAGCTTCCGCCCCGGTATTGGGATTCGCTTCAAGAACAAGGCTGTATCTGCCTTTCGCATCGTTCTTCACGATCTCTTTGAGAGCATCAAGCGTCAACTCATGCATCTTGGGCCGCCGGAGCTACTTCATTGACATCAACGCCTGGAAGACCGCGCTCAAATGGAGATTAGCCTTACAAGCTCTTCCACTCGGACGTAACCGTCTGGGCGCATGGAAAGACCCTCGGACTGCGACCCATGGCGAAGGATCCACGACAATGTCTTCGAAATGCGGACGTCATGAGAATCCTTGGGTAGACCCCTCAGTTTCGCGGAACCGCCTTTCCCTCCTCCTCGCCCCCTCGTGGAGCCGCCGCCTCTGCTGTGTTGCTTGCCTTCTTTGTCGCTGGAGCCTCTATGCCCACGTCCCTCGGGCGCAGCTTCAGGTACGACGCCGTCTGTAGACATACGGCTGAACTCGCAGTCGTTCCTGCGGCGATATTGGAGTGTAGCGATACCAAGTCTTGACCGGGGCAAGCTGGTGGTCACCAGGCAACCGATAGATATACGGTACGCCAGCACTTGCGTGGCGGGGATCGTTGCAGTCGAATAAAGGACGGAGTACAGGCGGCTTGCTCAACCTTCCTGAGAGGGGAGGGGAGGACAGTCGCACGTACAGTACTGAGTACACCCGTCACAAACTCGCAGTCGATGGAGCATCCACGGGTACGGGCTGCGGCCCGTACCTCCGGTGGCCCAGATCTGACTCAAAGAGGCAACAGGTTTCCACGCCCGAGTTTTCTGCCGTTGCAGCCTGCCTGAGCGTGCCGTGTGCTGCCAACACTCTCCATGTTCGCTACCCTCCGTCGCTTGTACGCGACACTCCCCGACGCAGCGGCGGCGGCGCGAACGGCGTCGACGCCCCGTGCAGTCCGTATCCGCCGTGCTCAGCAAGGTCTCGACGTCGAACCCCAGGAATCCGATGCGACACCCGCAGGCCTCACCCCTACCGAATTCGCGCGCTACCAGCGTGCTTTGGCCAAGGGCGAGCTTTTCAGGGACGATGGAACCAATCTGGCAGAGGCAGAGTGGCTGGAAAGGCTGGACTCACGCAGAAGCCGCTTGCGCGGTGTGCGGCAGGCGTCGAAGGAGGGCGAGGAGGAGGCGGAGGTGGTCGGCCAGAAGATATACCTTCCCAACATCATCTTCAAGATGGTTCGGAACCATACGCCCGCGGGACAGCCGTACAACCCATACGAAGCAACATTCCGCGTCCCGCAGTCCGTGACCAAGACCGACATCCGCTCATACCTCCTCGCTGTATACGGTGTCCAGACAACCTACATCCGCACCGACAACTACCAGTCTCCTCTCCTGAAGAGACCGGGGAAGCCAGCAACAACTCTCCCGGACAGGACGTACAAGCGTGCTGTCGTCGGTCTCGTCGAACCGTTCTACTACCCGCTCGCAGAGGAGGACATGCCAAGGCAGGAGCGCGAGGCTAGGCAGAAGTGGCTGCGAGAGCGACTGCTTATCGACAAGCGGGACACGGATCGGCAGTTGTACTTCTTGCGTATGACGCGCTCTGTCAACGGCAAGGGCTGGAAGTGGAGGACCGGGGTGACGGCGTCGAGAGGGAACATCTTGCGCCTCATCGCGGAGCGTCGGGCAGAGAGGGAGCAGGTCGTAGAGGATGTCAAGGCCCGCATCCGGGAGGAGAGAGGGAGAGCCCCCGCCGAGGTCGTATAGACATACGGAGCCTTCACGAGACCGCTGTCCGTACGTCGCTTCAGCTATACATGCACTACCCTGACTGACTGGCGAATATGTAGCATACTGATATTCACCTGCTTAATCGCATCCGTGCATGCTGACCCTTGTCCTGAGTCCACCATAATTTGCTTGCGGCCCTGCTATCAACAACCATGGTTTGTCTGAAAGGATCGCTCGACGATGCGAATCCACTTGTGCGACTTCGAAGCAACCTGTCCTGTCCTGTTGATGTTGGCTTACGGCACGGCACTACCTGCACTACTCAGCTGCTCCCGACTTCGCTTGACCTCACGACACGGCAATGAACACTGCGGAGCTTGGTGCGTAGCGGTTGACTATGTAAGATTTTTAGTGAAAAGAAGCCTGCAGGTTCGGTGAGTGTTGCGAGGTCGCAAGTGATAACTTGCGACCTTGTAAGACTCACCAAAGGAGAGCTGTTCTTGTCTGAGGTTCCAGTGCAGTGCCCGCACCCTCTCGGCATTGCCTGCCGTCGCTGTCACGCCGAGCAGTCTCGTTCTCTCGTTTGTGCGGTTCACAGATGTTCCAGAGCCATGCATACACTATTTGACCAAGCTCAAGGGAAGCATCTATCATACAGTGTGTGAGAGCTCCGAGAGCCCGGAAAGTACAAGGCCCCAGGCTGTCAACACGAGTGGAGGCTTTGCTCGCGCAACTGGAGACAAAACAGAAGCACAAAAATACTAGCCCACCGCGAGGGTCGAACTCGCAGCCTTCAGATGCCCGTAAGTAGCAAGATAAGAGTCTGACGCTCTATCCGATTGAGCTAGGCGGGCACATTTTCTCTTGGGAGGGTATGGTTTTTGACAAAGGTTACAGTCCTGTATAGCAGAACTGGCACCGTGAAACTGCGCGCTTGGTTGGACCTGGACAACTGAGCGAGAGTCAAGAGCCGTGAGTCAAAGTCAAATTCCGCATACGGCCCGCTTCATTATGCATTACCTCCTGCATAATAGCATGTTCAGTCGACCGTTGGCAACTTGCATGAGCGTGAGGAGCCCACCGCCGGGGGTGGCGCTGTTCATTTCTGCCAGTGCCTCTAGTACTCACTCGGTCCTTTGGCGGTACTCCGACTAACGATCGCTCGAATCAAATACGAAGCTGGCTCGCCATCGCCCACAGGAAGACTCTTGCTTGGGCATCGACTGGACAGCGTGTGCCCTTGGCCCCGCCGTCCAAGAGACAAGGTTCACTGCCCTTCAACGGGCTTTCGCGGGGCTGGACAGTACCCGTCTCACACCGCTCACCCACCGGATCTCGGACGTCAGATGTGCTGACGTTACATGTCGTCGTCCATCCCTGCTGGTGCTTACTACATCACGGAAGAGAGGCGAAGGACGGAGCACGAAACGACTTGCGGTAGATGTGAGTATTCACGGTGCGATTCCGAAGCTGCGACTGTCTGACAAGTTCGACCACCTATCTTTGTTGCGTTGACCCGCAGTACCTTCTATGCTACGGACATCGACTTTGTCTTCTATCAATCTTCATTCACTGATTTTGACTGTTATACCAGGTTTCCAGAGCGCATCACATAGCATAGTAAAGGCCAAGAGACCTGGGCACGCGGATCTCCGGCTGTGCCATAGCAGTCATGAGTCGTCGCTTCGATGCACCGCAAGCCGAACAAAGCAGACTGGATTGGGTACTCAATGGCGGCGTCGCGTTGCACCGCCCGGAATGAGAGTATTCTAAAACATCAACATGTACTATGTTGACAACACGGCAAGTATGCGCAGCTAAGTTTGATGAACACTGTGCACGTTGTTGCTACCTGGAGGTAACTCTACCATCTGAGTATCATGCCTTCTTCTCTTCGAAATCAAGCATCTTACCGTTAATGGACCATAGAAGTTGAGCTCCGGCGGAAGGATATCGGCCATAGCGATCTCAAGTGCGTTACGCTCTCGCTTTCGCCCGCAACAGTCGTCCGAGTCAGTTCGGACAGATTGAGGTGCGTCACTTCTCATATATGTTGTCCGAAGTCCCATCACCCCGGGCCTGAATCTACCGTGGATTGGGAGGCTCGAGTTTAGACGGAATCCTCTGGTCCTCGTCAGAGCAAGTACATCTGTGTCGACAGTGAACGTAACGCATAGAAGGATCGTGTGCAACAGAATACGCCAGGAAAAGCGCATAGGGTCCGGTCGAACCGGCAGAGTGACTGAGTAAGTGAGTGAGAAGCACTGGCGCCGCGTGACAAGTATGCCTCATACCCAAGCTTTTACCGTTCAGTTCTATCACAACTGAGTCGGTCAGCGGAGACCATAGCAATTTCTATGGCCAAAATTCGCGAGGCCATGTACTCGCTGCGGGCCATGGCAGCGACGTATGAGCAGATGGAAACATGTCAGTACGGCCAGCAGCCCCAGGAATCAGTCTACTGGCGAACCTACGCCGAGACGGTGTACGGAGGACTGACGGAGGCTTTCTGACGCCCAGTACTTACGCCTCATACTTATTATCCGTCAGCCACGACTCGCACCTACTTAGATCCTAATGTCGTAGTTGCACTGTATACAGACAGCGTCGCTCGAAGATGAACTCCGCAGCAGTGGTTTTGCCTTTGAGTGCCGGATGCGCACTGGCAGGCCGCAAGATTCGGACTTGGTGAACAGCGGGGCACTGCCAGTGAACGTTCGCGATGTACGAGTAAGTACCTTCTCGGGCCCCGAGTATCTTGACGATGTTCCACATCGTAGACAACATGATAGAGTAGCATCTGAGCCGGGAAGGCCGAGTATGCCTTGTGGCAGACCGCACAGACTCATCGCTGTGCGTCGCAGTCGGCGATCGAAGGATTCGCAGGGGCCACTGCCACAAGCGCCCGTTCCCCATTCCCGCCCGGATTAGGCAGGGTTATGTCACACGTGCCAGCGCTAGCGCGTTAAGTCGTTCGTTGCCAGTCGATCGAGACTCGGGTCGGCCTGTGCCATCCTGTGCCGTGCTCGACGGATGCAATAACCATATTAGTGCCCTCTTCAAATCGACGACAATCTGAACGACTAGGTACAGTCATCCGGAGATCGCTGAAAATAGCCCCGCCGAACAACCAGAGACTCGAATTCGCGCCATGATTCTGCTTAGGCAGGCCGTGCCCGGCAACTTCGGACTGGTCACTGATGGCTTGAATCGAGGCTGAGACTCACGCCAGCGAATTTGAAGCAATGCCAGTGCTGCTCACGCTTATTCAACGGAATCACTGTCCTATTTCCTTAGGTGATGTCGCCGACTGCTACAATTGCGGCTTGCTAACGCAGCACATCCGGCGATGAACCAGCGCCTGTTCCCTCTACTAGCAGCTGCCATCAGGGATCGCGGCTCAGGCTGCTCCTAGGGGACTCGACTCTGCGGTCAGCACCCTATTCTATTTCTTAAGCGGCTCGTAATACGGTACTTGCCTGCCTCCATATCACTGGCGCGGCTTCTTGCGGCTCCGTAGTAAGATTCCCGATTGAAGAAGGTCTACTCCGTGCCGCGTTTCTCACTCCAAGCACAGGCCGCCGCGAAAACGATGACGGAAGGCTGTACCGTCGTACAGCAATCCAAGCCATCATAACTTATACAGCCCTACAGCCCGGCCCCTCGTTATACAGCTCAGGTACCGAGATACCATGAAATGGAGCAGGCCGCGAAAGCTGCATGAGGGACACCAGCCTTCGGAAATTGCACAAGACCTGATGCATCATGGCCTCTTCGTGGGTTCTTGAAGCTAACCCTCCTTCCGTATTGTCGTGCTGCGATCGGAGAACCGGACCAAGGGGCCTGTGGTGTCACCACGTCGCCCTGGAATGCCAACATCAATGGATGATAGTCAGGTGTTGTCGCGGTCTCTATCAGTGAGTCATTCCGGGCCCTGATATGCTTGGGTAGTTCTGACGGCTCTGTAGACACGCCATGGACCTGCATGTCAACTTGCACGTAATACCATGTGCGGCGAAGTGCCCCGTTTCCTTCGGGGGCTGGCACAGCGTTGTCAAAAGCGTGTTGCTCCACGCAACGACTGATTCGTCCGACAGCGACATCAGTATGCTCTATGACTTCGACTTGTCGTTCCAGTAACAATCATTCCGTCCCAGACTGTCGCCACTGCCTGGAGGGCTTCTCGAGCTCCGGAGGAACACTCCGAGATCATGTTCACGCTACATCAGTCAGTGTGTTCGATCGCAGATTAGCAATGCGACAACAGTTCTGTTTGTCTGAGCGATTCTACGCATTCTACACGGTGAATGTAGAGGAGACTGAGCTGCGTATAGACACCACTCACCGCTATATATTGACAGTGTCTCCGACCAATCTGGACTTACAGACAACCTCCTATCGCGGTCCAGCACCTGCTCTATCCAATGGAGCGCCGCTTTTACGACCAGTCCACCCAAACCCCGGCTGGGCAGCAACCCCCCGATGATGTGCTGCTGTGGCTCGACTCTCTCTCAGGACACGCGCCCACGGGTCCCGAGGACTTCGACTTTTCCGGACAATGGGTACCCGCCGGGACCCACGACGAACAGCACGCTCAGTCGTTCCATCCAGGAGCCTCCGCCAGCGCTGTGACAGAACACTCGGAGACGTACCAAATTCCCCTGCGCCAAGAAGACTACGGCGCGTACGAAGAATATGGCGGCTCTTCGCCCGGCTCGACGCATTCTTACACCGAGACGGAGAGCATGGGAAGCAGCAGCAAGGGGAAGCACAAGATCGCGCTCGATCCAACGCAGCCCTTGACGGTCGATGGCAAGCCCCGCGAGCGCGTGTACGTTGCCTGCGACCGTTGGTGAGCACCTCCCGCTGTTTCCTCCTGCTCATGGCCGTCCGGATTATTGACATGGCCTACAAACCCCAGTCGCACCCGCAAGCTTCGCTGTGACGGGGCACAGCCGGCCTGCTTCAACTGCCAGAAGGTCGCACACACTGGGGTGGAGTGCCGGTACCAACCCGTCCCGAAGCGACGCGGTCAGGATAAGGCGCCCCGCATCCGCTCCCCTGTAGGCCAGAGGAAGCTGCGCAGGGCTGCGGTGAAGAAGGAACAACGCGATGCGGCGACCGGTCAAAGCCCTGCTCAGAGTGTGAGCCGAAGCACGAGCCAGGGCGCTTGAGCCCGTAGGTATACATTGCTGCCGTTGGCTTCCATCCCAAACCTTGGAGCAAGAGCCGTAAGCCAGATTTTGAATTTCTCGTGGGTGTCGCTTACGCCTGACCGCAGTGACTTCGATGCGTTGTGCTCGGTGAATGGTCGTAGTGGTATGACGGCGAAGCTCGCAAGAGCGCTTTTACGCTCGTCGTATCCCAAGTCTGAACCATTCCATCACTCTAGTACTCGCTACTATTACAAGCACGACACTATACCGATACTAGGCTATACCGAGACCTGAACAGGGCCAATGTCTGTGCCAACTCAGCAAGGATCCGTCACATGCTCTGCAGCAGCCCGCCAGGCGGGCGAGACTTTTCTTCATGCGCGCTCACGACTCGGGTATGGCCCTAGAGGCACAGGGTTCGCCGGCAGCGAATTGATCCACCCCGTCCGCGCATCCTGCGAATCATCTGATCAACTGAATGTCCGGAAATCAAGCTCGAAGATCCTCACAGTATTCGGCGTAAGCGTTTGGGCCAAGAGATCCCTCTCGAGAAGTTCCTGCGGCCGCTCGATGTCAGGCGTCAGCGCCTTCTCCTCGAGCGCGCCCTCCGGTAGCCGCAGGTGCCGTGACTCCTGGACTACTGCCTGCGGCAGAGGGTCTGTCGATCCCGACGCGCGGTCCGTCGTCTGGCTGCCAAA